TGTTTCAAGTGAACAGAACCTTTCAAGTAAATTAACTGGTTGTATTTTTTGTCCCAGATCGTCGAGCACAGAACCACCGACGGAGAGTTTGCAGGTAGAGATCACCTTTCCTGTCAGGGACGTTCATAAGGAGACACACACAGCACACAAGCAGACAAAGCACCAGCATTAGAACCCTGACAAGTTAATAACATGGACCATCTTGTTACAGACAATGTTCTGTTTAAAACCTGCTCCTGATCCAGTCATGTGGATGTTTCTACACCTGCACATCCCTGTCCAGCGAGCGTACGACCTCATGGCAACAGACAACACACCCCATCGCGCCTAAACATCCTTTAGAGAAACACAAGAATGGGCGGGCTGCCCTGGAACGAGCCTGATCCACTACTACCGGGTCCTACTGATGCAGGACCCCCAGAGGGCTCCCATCCAGACTGTTCACACCTGTTCTAGCAGCAGGAGACGCCTACACAGCAGTGAGCATGTGGCTTTATTGTTGGGCCAAATAGCAGTGACAGCTTTAGTAGGAGAACTGTGATGATAAGTTCTGGAGAAAGCGACAAGTTCTGGAGAGACATCTTCAGTCTGGGATGAGTGGAGCTTTAATGTGTTTTCTCACCAAAACGTGGCTCATACAGAACAGACAGGACTTCATAAAACCATGACCCATTAAACCAGCTGTCTCCAGTACTTTTGGCTCCTGGTACCTCTGACCCACGGGGTCCTGTAGATGACTCCAGGCTGCGGTCCACTGTGGGGATACAGGTCTGCGGTGCCGCTCAGGTAAGGAGTGGGCAGAGCCAGCAGGTCCATCTTCACCTTCAGACTGGTGCTGGACTGAAATATAAACAGAACACTCAGAGGAGAGCAGCTTCAATGAGAAACTCACAGGTAAAAGAAACGAGCAACACACTGACCTCAAAAACATAGTCCAGAGCTTTACACCTGACAGCAGAGAAGATCCCCGGCAGGGCACACCTGTCCTTCTCTGACCTGCCAACAGCGAAACAAAAAAACAGAAAAAAGCTCATTATCGGAAGAACACCTGGACGTTTTCATACCGTGGTCGTACACTGGTGGATTAACTCAATATTTCACCAGCTGAAACAGGTATGTTGACTATTTTTCTAAAATAAATGCGTCACAAAATATGTTAACCTGCAGCGTTAGCTTGTTTGGCTAATGCTAATGTGTCCGAGCTAGCTAGTTAGCCGAATTAAAATGTTCTCTACAGACTTCCAGCTCAACGGGTGAAGCTTCAGCAGCACAAATCTAAAAAATACAACTTCTGTAATGGCGTTTCATGGGTTAACATCCTACTTACATGAGGCAGGAGGTTTGTTTTGCTGTTTTAATCACAAACTGAGAGTTTCAGTCAAAGGTTGAAGCTTCGGGTCTGTGACGCGGCGATAGGCTTGACCTTTGCGCATGCGCTCTTGGAGGAATCAGTGCAAAAACATAATTTCACGGTAAACATGAATATGTTCTTTTAGTTGTTTTAACAGTTATTGTTTTCTATGTTTACCCAAAGACTACCATCTGACAATATCGTAACATTAGAGAGATACTTTATTTATTTTATTTATTACAAAAATACACATAAAGAGGTAAATTAAACAATAAGCATCCATAGAAACTGACAGCAGTCCAAACATAAGGAACACTCACACGTTATAAAAGCAGTTAGAGGGATGAGTAGTCAGTCAGAGTCTGTGTAAAGAGTTAAGCTCCTAATCAGAGGCTGTCAGGTGTAGCTGGAGCTGGTCTCTGTCACAACGTTTCAGGGGAAGAGAAGCAGCTCAAACCAGGTGGGCTTTTTTTTTTTAGAATAAGAAGAAGGATGGTATTAGTTAACAAAGAGCTCCAGCATTTGGCAGCACTGTGGGAGGCAAAGTTAGTCTGGGCTATAAGATGAGACAATCAGCTGTTCAGGCGATGCGTCGCTGCAGCTTCATCAGAGGCAAACTGCTTTCATGGCATTTATTACATGTTTAATTATGGAGACCCAGGGTTGTCATGGTAACCTGTTGGACACATTAATAACAATAATTAACCAAAACATTCAGTGCTGTGCGTGTTTTTCCTGCAGGAACACTTTGTGCTCGTTGCCACAGGGAGGCGCCATTAACCACCTTATTACCATGGTGTGCTGATACGGAGGATGTGGACCGGTTCCTCAGATCCAAAACTCACAACCAGAGCAGCAGGACTACGTTTATTAGTTGTAAGTCAGTAAATCACTTCATCCTACATTAGATGTGAACCTGCAAACTGCAGGACTGTACGTGACAGAAGAGCTGCTGTGGTTCTGAGAAGAACCGGGTCAGTTTTTCTGTTTTCTTTTTCTTTTTCCATCCTTCTTTGTCTTCTCTGTGAGCTTGTACATCTGGCGTGTGACCTGGCTGGACGGTCTGCAGGTTAATAGACTCTTAAAGATCTATGGTTGGACTTTACTGGTTTCTCGTCCAGTGGGCAGAATGTTGGTTTAGGACACATTCAGGGACTCTGGCCATGTGGGAGAAACTACAGGAAACCTCACACTGACACCAAACTGCACGAGCTAGGAGGTGATTCACAGAAAATACTGAGGACTGCCCTGTACAACAAGCACAATGCATTTACTTCTATGTATAATTCAAACAAAGGGGTTTGATCGACTACAGATGAAAACACGTCATGTCCAGTTCAGGCTAATTGCTCTGAATGGATGGAGCCTGAAACCAAAGGCCTTTAGCGTCTGGACGTTTTGTGTCTGTATGTCTGTGTTTTGTACCATTTTCAGAAATCAGAATCATATTCAGGACCTGTTTTGTGGCTCAGTAGATTTTCACACATGTATAGCAGTACCATTAGTCACCTCAGTGTCTCATTTTAATGTTTTTTAAAAATCTCTGTGGTTGTTTGCTCAGGATTTACATTGTTTTGTCGTACCTCTGCAGTCATTCTGTGTCTTTGAGGTCATTTTGTGTCTCATCTTGATGAGCTTTGCATCTCTTTGTTAGTCCGTCACACAGAGTTGACGTCTTTTCGTGCTGCATGCTGATGGTGTTGCATCCCTTCGTACTCATTCTGTCTGTTTGAGGGGATTTTTGTCCCAAGTTGGTAATTTTATGTCTCACATTAATAATTTTGTGCTGCATTGTTGCCATTTTGTTCTTTTTATAATTGTTTGTATGTCTTTGTAGACATTTTGGTCTTTGTGTCACATTTTAATAGTTTAGCATCTTTTTATGGCCAATCTGTGGTTAGTCTGTGTTTTTTTGGTTTTTATGCATCTCATATCAAATTTGTGGCATTTATGTCTCATTTTGGTGAGTTTATGCAGTCTGATGATTGTTATTTGTTCCATTTTGTGTCTCGTCTTTCATCTCTTCGTACTCGTTTGCATAGCTGCCTCACATTTTGGTAATGTTCTGTTCATGTACGTCTTTTTAGTGCCTCTTTTACTTGTTTTGTGTCTCTTTCTAGGATATATATTATAAATGGAGGACAGGACCAGGTGTCTTTGACTCTTTGAGCCCTGTGGCCGGTTCCCGTTTGGTCCGTTCTGCCCGCAGTGAACGCCACAACTTCATCATATCTGGTGGTTGTGTCGGACGCAACACCGCTCCACATGGAGAGGCACCGCTGGAACAGGTGAGAAACCAGAGGGACCTCATAAAGATGGGAGAGGTTACAAGAGCATCAAAGGGCTGCTGAACATGAGCTGCAGCAGATGTTAGGAGGTAGAGGATGAGCCGTGCTGCCAGGGACACAAGGCACACCAAGAATCCAACAGTACAAACCTCTCACTGTGGTTATCAGTGGAAACTGCTGCTGCCGAGCTGCTCAGACAATCTCTGGGAAAACCTTTGTTCACAAAGCTGCAAGATTAAAGTGTGCCTGATGCACACTGATGGCACGTTCATTGGTCAGATGAAACCAAAAGAATGAATTAGGATCAGATGGATCCCAGCATGTTGTTTGTCCAAAAAATACCACAATGAATGTGCTGATATGAGGCAGTTCAAAGGGTAGAGGGGCGCTGACATTTATAGACGGCACTACAAATAAATACACAATGAAAAAATGACTCCCAGTCTCAAGCTGCTTGGCAGGAGGAGAGGAATTTTCCAACATGACAACGATGCCAAACACACTGCAACAATCACACGAGAGTTTCTACAGCAGAAAAAAAGAGAGAGACTGTTCTGGCCAAGTCTTTCTTGAAGAATCCCTCCAGCGTAGAGCAGCTGGAAGTAATCATGTGTGAAGAACATCTCTGTCCAGATCACTGGACGGGTGTCATTCATACCCAGAGAAATCAGATGTGTCATCGTAAAGGAAGACAGAAGGACGGAATGTCACCTAATGAAGAGACTCTCTGTAAAGTAGAGCCTGTTTTAATTAGACATCACATCTAGCGCACTGCTCTTCAACTTTAAAGTGATGCGGTTAATATAGCACGATATGTTTCTGAAGTCTCCGTAACCTCACCCCACAGATCCCTCTGAGAAACCGCCCGCTGAGGCAACGCTTCAGTGATCAGCTACAAAACTCAAATCCCCAAATGACAGCATGATTGCACGCAGAGCGCCTCGAGACGTGATCGAGTTTCATGGAGATTGGCTTAAAAAAAAGAGAGCCTCACAATAAAAATCCTCTCGATTCTTCACGTTGACGCCTAAAAAACGTCTCAGGTGGAAACAAAACCCTCCGACACGGTTAAACTGTGGCTCTTTGTGTTGCTGCGACATCTGACCCGCTCTGACCCACATCAGCAGCTTTATTTGCAGGATTTTGCTCTTGGTTTCAATCTGAAGTGTGTTTTGTTCCCTGTAATTTCTACATATGCACACAGACACAGCGGGCTGCTACCCGACACTTGGGCTACAGCTGCTGGAGGTTCTGCCCTCTTGGTGCAGAACCACGCTCTTTGTTTCTGCCTCGTTTTGTTCCTCCAGTTTCAGTCTGAGTTTCTGTTGGAGCTGAAATCTGAACAACATTGAAACACAGCGTTTTATTGACACACGCTTTGGTTCATTGGTTTATTTCCTGTTAGTATGTTACAGTGAATCGATCACGCGTGTGCAGGCCCACCGACCGCTCCTCAGCAGTCTGGTCAGCTACGGCACAGTTTAATCACATTTAGATTTTGGCTAGTATTTAAGGGAAAAAATGGAGCTAAATGAAGCTTCAGCTACTAGCCTGTTAGCTTAGCTTAGCTCGGCTAACACCTGGACCAGTGCCAAGGTGCTGTGGTTACTTCAGTTTGAATCAGAAAATACTTCATCTGCATTAAAAACATGTTGAAACCTTTCAGAAAGTAGGACTTTCGAGGTTCAGGTAAAGACTGTAAAGCAGAACAACGGACAGAACAGCGCGTCGTGTTTTAGAACCGATCGCGGTAAACCGTAACCTGAAGATGTGGTGGAATAAGAAGCAGCAGGTCCATGAAGGAACGTACAAATTAGACCAAACATTCAGGTACATTCATAGTTTGAGACTGAGGTGTTAAAACATGAAGACGACAGAAGAAAGAAGCTAATTTGATCCAGTCAGCAGGCACTTTGGATTGAGGACACATTTCTGCTCCGTCTCGACACTCGGGCTCATTTTTTGCGCTCCTCGATCTGCTCCACCTCGCTGGACTCGTCCACCACTTTGCCGTTAATCATGGTCTGAGTGACGACTTTTACAATCTTCCTGGTCCTCACTTCAGGGTCTTCTGCAACGAGGAGTGAGCCAGAGTTAGTTACATCCATGCTTCACGTCTGCTGGAACATCACTGACACTGTTGTTAACCATGTGATAGTAAACGCTGGGCCTGCATGACTAGTTCACATCTACTGCTGTGACAGCTTTGGCCAGAAAACGCTGAAGAAGAGGGGATAAATCTGCTCGGTGCTGGGGTTAGGGTCTCCTCTGGGTCCTGTGTGGGTATCGAGTGCACACATGTGGGCAAAAGACGAAGTCTGAAAACGTCTGAAACCAGACCACCATCGGCCGCTGCAGCAGACAGAAGGCCACAGTTTAACACATCTATTGAGAAGCTTTGCTGCAGGACTTCCTTCATTACATCTGGCCTTTAGTGTGACACTGGATCCGATACGACTGACAGCAGGAGACGCAGATGGTTTCCTACATCCAGCACAAACTATCACAGGACAGTGTGAAGAAACGTCGAACCAGACAGCTGCTGACGCTCAGTAGATAAGATCATGAGAACTTACTTTTGGGAGGTGGAGGTGTTTCCTTCACCCTGTAGGACGACATGATGTGAGATTGGATTAAATGAGAGCAAAGCAGAAAGAAGAGGTTCAGTCTCTATCTGATGACGGTACAGGAGACATTGGAGAGACGTTTAGATATGTGGGGGATACACAGCTGCTAGCAGAGCACTGCTAAATTCAGGATGAACCCTCTGGACCCCGAAACCCACTCACAGGTTTCAAAGGTCCGTCGGTGTTTGAGAAAACTACACTTTTTATCAGAAACTGTAAAAACAAAAAGAATCAGAGGAGTTTGAACCCTTGAAATAGTCATTGTTGATATTTCATCCAAATCTCTTTCTTCTACATGATTCATTTAAAATTTCAGCAAATTTCAGGAGACAGGAGA